TCTCTTTCTCTCTTCGCTCTCTCTCTCTCTCGCTCTCTCTTCTCTCTCGCTCTCTCTTTCTCTCTCGCTCTCTGTCTCTCTCGCTCTCTGTTTCTCTCTCGCTCTCTCTCTCTCTCGCTCTCTCTTCTCTCTCGCTCTCTCTCTCTCTCTCTCTTCTCTCTCTCTCTCTCTCTCTCTCTTCTCTCTCTCTTCCTCTCTCTTCTCTCTCTTCTCTCTTCTCTCTTCTCTCTCTCTCTCTCTCTCTCTCTCTCTCTCTCTCTCTCTCTCTCTCTCTCTCTCTCTCTCTCTCTCTCTCTCTCTCTCTCTCTCTCTCTCTCTCTCTCACGCACGCACATATATATATATATATATATATATATATATATATTATATATACGCATATATATATATATATATATATATATATATATATATATATATATATATATATATATATAATATATATATATATATATATATATATATATGTATATATATATATATATATATATATATATATATATTATATATATATATGTATATATATATATATATATATATATATATATATATATATATATATATATATATATATATATTATGTAAAAAAAATATAAATATATAATATATATATATATATATATATATAATATTGTGTGTGTGTAAATATACATATATATATATATATATATATATATATATATATGTTATATATCATATATTTATATAATATATTTTTATATATTATATATATTGTGTGTATTTATTCATTCATTCATTTATATATATATATATATATATATATTACATATATATGTATGTATATGTACATAATAATTTATTTATGGATATGTATATAGATATATAGATTTACCCATGTATACGTCTCAAGGAGCAGAGGGAGGCGAAGGGACGGAGGGCGAAGCGAGAGCGAACCGCGTCCGGAGCTCCTTCGCCGACGAGGTCGCCGCACGTGCCTCCGTCGTGCTTGCTGGCCTGTCGGTGTTCGTGCGTGTGTGCGTGCCTTGCGTCTTCGCCCCCCCCCCCCCCCGCGCTCCGGCGGCGCTGGCGAGGGTGATCTGGCCGTACTTGTGTATCGGTTGATCTTATTAATGAACTGAAACATTTAGTATAATGTCTGTTTTTGTGTGTGTGCTCTTGGTACGGCGTACTATTTTCATGGACATCCCTATTTAGGTTGGAATAGTATTTTTAGCCTTTCGTTTTGGTTGGGATTTGTGTGGCTTCATACAACAATACATTGGGCGGCACTTATAAAACACGTCCACTAGTTAGCACGACATGTCGACATGGGATTTCACTCAGTGCCATCCAGCATAAGCCACGCATAGGCGCGCCGGCTGGTATGACATGACATATGTTACAAATGTTACAGCTGATTCTTCGTGTGGTCGTGTCCTTGGCTCGACAAACAAACAGTATGTAGAGGCAGTAAAGTTGAGGCAGACGTTGTGCTTTTTGTAAATTCCGTGTTTGATATGCAGTTATAAGGTTCGAGAAAATAAGGGAATGATGCTGTCTGGAAATAATTGATAGACGGGTGTTGACGTTTGAAGGGTTGTTTATTTATGCCATGCGCCTCTTCTGTTTATCTGATTTTTTTTTTTTTTTTTCATTTCTAAAAAAGAATACAGGCAGATATGAATTGTGTCTGTCTTGTACATTGGATCCAGTGAGTTATTGATCTTCTGTCAGTCGGAGCCATTCTTGCGAGTCTGTGGAAGAAGCAAACGTTAAACCCAAACGTTTCCAGATGTCGCCAGAAGAAACGTGTTTCGCATGTGAATATAATGCATATACTTTTTTATATGCTGTATGTCAGATTAGAGACAACCTATGCCAAAAGAGTGTTTGGACGATGGTGATATGCAGAAATAAGTTCATTTTATCATTTAGTAAATAACAAACGAAGAAATAAAAGAAACTTTAAGCCACACAAGGAGTGGAAAGTTCCATTCTGGAGTCACGGCGCGGCGCCAGCAGAACGGGCGGAAACATACAGACTTCTGTGTCATATATATATATATATATATATATATATATATATATAATATATATATTTACACACACACACACACACACACACACACACATATATATATATTATATATATATATATATATTATATTACACACACACACATACATATATATATATATATATATATATATATATATATATATATATATATATTTACACCACACACACACACACATATATATATATATATATATATATATATATATATATATATTTATACATATTATATATATATATATGTGTGTGTGTGTGTGTGTGTGTGTGTTTGTGTGTGTGTGTGTGTATGTATGTATGTATGTGTATGTGTATATATGTATGTATATGTGTGTGTGTTATGTATATATATATATATATATATATATATATATATATATATATATATATATATATATAGTTGCACTTGTTCGTATACAATGTTGCTATACACCGAGTTGACTCAGCTTGTCACACGGAGTTGACTCAGCGTCGACTAGCGTGACGCCAGTATAGAAGATTAACAAACATATAGCAATACACAAGCTAAACATTTATGTCTTAAGTAGAAGTCAATTGAAAACCTGTCGTCCCCAAAATTCATTGAAGAATAGATTTCAAAATTGCTCTTAAACAAGGATCACTTGACATAGGTCATGGACTGGGCGTGAAAATCAAGGCAAAGAGGAGGGCGGGGAAGACGTGACTCATGTCACGCAGACACTTCGATTGGAGTTGTAATGTAAGCCTTAGAAGATGTAGCAACTGACTGGCTCCCGTTTCCTGTGCTGACGGTGACGAGGCGCCGACGGGATATTGCTCACGTTTTGAATTAGCTTTTGTGGAAAGTTCCGTTTGGGTTGGCCCGTCTTGGTGGCCTCTCTGCTTGTTTCCTTCCTGTCCTGAAATGGGTTATTTTTATCGGATGAGGTTCGTCTATGATGTTGGTTGGTGTGGACTCGGATGTTACTACTGAGTTGTTACTAATATTTGCTGTTGACAGTTGTTAAATATCACTTCCTGCCACAACTCTGAATAAAGCTTCTTGGACTTCCTGCAGTTTTAATTTATACGACAGGATAAATTGAGTATATATTTATATTATTTTTGTTGGCCTTAGAGCACATGGTACCATATCTAATCATATCAGTATGAGTTATCGGATTTGATTAAAGCGTGCATTTAATGGCAACCAATATTTTATTCACGTTAGTAAGTTTGCGTTACATTGAGCGAGAAAAATAAGTAAATGCAGACAAGTGAGGCGCCAGTGGAAATTTCCAGTTGTTTGTATCCCAGATCGATAAAATGAACAAGCCGGCAGCAAGCGTTCTCTCTGAACTTCTGCATTTGTTCATTATAAGGGTTGTTCTTTAGATTGCAGTGAGCTGTGCGTGTTCGCATTTCAAGAAGAATGTTTAATGAGGGGGTGAATGAGATTGAAGTTTAAAGAATGAGGGGTAGGTCGGTGACGACGGACATGCAAGCAGTGGCGGATGCGCCGTAGGCCTCTATATTATCGGTCAGGAGTTTTAGCTTCGGCTTCTCAATTGTTTTGGTCAGAGTGTGATATGCGGCACTTATTTTCCCAAGGAGCTGATACCGTCCAGTGGGAAAAAAAGTATGATAAACAGGAAGAAAGTTGCCCTTGGCCACAATGTTACCGGATATGATAAATAGAAATTTAAACGGAAGGACTTTTCCTAAATCGGATTTGTATTTGAAACACATTACAGATGATTTGCTATAAAAAGAATCGAAGAAAATGTCACGGTGCGCGAAGCTTTACAAAGGCGTGGTAATTTTCCACTCCCGACCTGTACCGTGTGAACTCGTGACGTCAGCGCGCATGCTCCTCCCGGCGGCGAGTGGCGGGATCATGCAAATGGCGGGAGGAAGGCGGGGGGTTTCTTCTTCGTTAGCGGCTCCGGATGCTTGGGGATGTGGTTGGATTCTGGCTTTGCTCGTGCGGAGGGGACTGGCATGAGCTTCGATAGGTCTTCGAAATTTAAAGATAAATTCAATTAGAAATAGTAATCCTAATTTTATATGTATGTTTCTAGACATATATATATATATATAGATATATACACAGTGCATATATATATATATATATATATATATATATATATAAACATACATACATACATACATACATACAAATATGCACACAAACGCTGAATATTTAGAAGAAAATGTGACCTTTGAGGCAGGCAAAGGCTCGAGGAGAAACTCACTTAAAATGACGTGCGTGCTTGCCCCGCCATTATTATGCTTCAGGGTTATGTGACACTGCTAAGCCTTTAGGAACTGAATCATATTAGCTGCAGGTGGCTCATAGTCTTCCCCACGGGTGCCCGAGCCTGGGCACAAATTCCCCAGGTATTTGCACCTCGCAAGGGGCATGCAGAGAGCGACAGAATAAAGGCATCTGAGGCCGTAGCCTGTCAGAATTTTCCTTTGGGAACTGAAATGAAAGGCTTTGGATCCATCGTAGGCCTGGAATCGATGCCTTGGTCTCCCGAACATAAGGGCCTGGTTATTTAGTAGTCCACCTTATTTTGCTGAAATAGGCTCTAGTTACTATCGAGAAATTTGAGGTCACGTGGCCATAAGGAGCTGTCTTGATAAGCAATCGTGCCTTGTTAAGCGTTATCAGCCAGATAGGAGGTTCGATTTAATTGGGTCCTTTATCATTTGACATGCTGTGGGTAGCTTATTTGTCCACTGACATATAAAAAATGTTTATCAGAAATGTAAATAGCGATGACAGAAGTAATCAAAGCAAAATGTTATTGATAAGGAGATAAGTCATGATGTTGCTGTTTACGATGTATTTAATAACATCGCTGGTAAATGTTTGTCTGCTTTTACTTGTACATTCAATGCTTATTTCCGACAGGGTAGCGCCATGGAAGTAATGGCATGTCTGTTTCCGCATAGCAATTCCTAAATTAGCGACTAACGGTTTGCGATCTCCTTTGCAGAAGAGGTGGAGAGCATGGAGGCTCGACTCGTCACCAAGAAGCTGGAGAGCGTCTTGTACCGGGGCGTCGAACGCTACTTCAACGTCGACGCCTTCATCGTGCCCCGGAATACACTGCTGAAGTAAGTACTCTATTCACTCTACATATTGCAATACCCGGATGGAATTCACGTATTTGCTAGAATTTTGAAAAAGAAAGGTGATGATGCAGTTGTATGTATATGATCACTGAGTGACACGTGAAAGAACGCAAGTAACAATCTTTTCCTCTCCTCCAGGGCTGCGCATGACATCTTGAGGCTGTCGTCCGAGCGGCCGCTTGGCCTCCGCGGCGCCCTCGTGGAACTCTATCTCTGCTACGACGGTTCTTGTAAGAGGTGAGTTACATTACATTGCGAGTGGTTGGATGGCTACCATGAGAAGTCGCTTAACTGTTGTTACATTTTTGTGACGTGGGAGCTCTTTTTTCTATATTTTTATCCGTAAAAGTTATATGATATAGAAACTTTTTCCATATTCTAATCCGTAAAAGTTATGTGACATAGGAGCTCTTTTTCTGTATTTTTATACGTAAAAGTTATGCTAGGTACTAATACAGCATTCATTATCTGTTACACAGACTGGCACAAGTGGTAGCAGACCCGCGCCAGGAAGTGAAGACCGTGATCAAGCTGACCCTCCACCAGGACGAGACCTCGGACCCCGCCACGCTGCACCTGCG